GAGTTTTTTGACAAATTTTATGAACATTTTTGTTTTTGTCCTCTTTTGTAGCTCTTGCTTCCTCTTGTGAGCACTTTCAGGTACGAAGGAGACGAGGTGAACATGATGCTTGCAAGATCTGAATCTAAGATACTTCACGAGAAGGTCTCAGACAAAGCTTACAGCGACGATGACTTCATCAGAATCTTGACAACCCGAAGCAAAGCACAGCTCGGCGCAACACTCAACCACTACAACAACGAGTATGGAAACGCCATTAACAAGGTTAGCTCAAACTACCAACTTTTTTCTTTTCTTTTTTTAATTTGTTGTTGTACTGGTCTGATTCGAAGGAGCTGATTATGTTTTGGATTTTGCAGAACTTGAAGGAAGGATCGGATGACGAATACCTGAAGCTACTTAGAGCTGCAATCACCTGTTTGACATACCCTGAGAAGCATTTTGAGAAGGTTTTGCGTCTAGCAATCAACAAAATGGGAACAGATGAATGGGGACTAACTCGTGTCGTGACTACAAGAACCGAAGTTGACATGGAACGCATCAAAGAGGAATATCAGCGAAGAAACAGCATTCCTTTAGACCGTGCTATCGCCAAAGACACTTCTGGTGATTATGAGGACATGCTTGTTGCTCTTCTCGGACATGGTGATGCTTGAAACTGACTCAATTTCCCCTATTTTCAATTTTCCTGGTTTGTTTTGAATAAAAGAGTTGTGAAACTGGTTCTGCAACTATCTTTCAATGATCTTTGAGTTTGTTTTAAATTTCTATTTGAATCAAAATCTGTTTTTTTGTTCCTTGCTTAAACACAATCTAAAGCACAAGCTAAAGCAAAAGCTTCGTAATCTAAACAATTACAGCTTCCACAATCTCTACTACTACAACACACACAAAGCTTCTCTAATCTCTTCTCTTTCTTGTTGATCAACATCATCTTCTCCATCTCTAAAGCTTGAACCTGTAAAGCTATCTTCAACAAAACAGGCTTTTCGTCATCCAAAATCCGGTCTTTCGATTCACCCATCACAACAAATCTCTCAATCTCCATGCCCGGCGACTCGAAAACCGAATCCCATGAAACCTCTCCTCTCCCTACAACCTCTGATCTCGACGACTTCCTAAGAAACGACGACGTTTTCTTCCTCCGTAGCTCGAAAACAACTCTTTGTTGCTTCAATTCCTCTATTGCTTCTTCGTTCCCTTGACACTCGAGACCAAAAGATTGATCCCAAACGAGCTTGTCTGATTTCGAACAGATCTCTCTCGTGTTTACTTCGATCTTTTTGTGTTGTCCTGCAGAAAGATAGAATCTCACAAACATAGTAGTACTAGCTTGTGACTTGATCTTTACGTTTCTTGCTTCTACTATTCTCACTTGGCATTTTAGTGAATGAAATTTCTTCCCCATAACACCCATTTTTTTGCTTAGAAAATCTAATCAAAAGATGAGGTTTTTGTTGATGAATATGTTGATTGAACAAAGACTCTTGTATATTTATATAATCCTTGTGATGAAAAATGGGTCCAATATTCTAATAGTTTTTAACTTTTTATGTAATCCATAAGACATTATTTTAGTTGATAGTTGTAAGATTCGCGAGATCTTCGTAAGTGGTCACAACACTTTATTAGCTTTAAAGTTATATAACTAACAGTAAAATATACATTAGAAGGTTATATAAAACATGGGTATATTAGATCATGACTTGGTGCATATCCTCGTTAGTCCAATGAAATTTAACTATAGTGTGTGTTGTAATACGATGATTCGTATAATAATACTGAAGTGAAGGCTTTTGATCTTCCAAATCCAAGATCTTATCAAGAATCAAACTTCAAAATCTTTGAACTGCACCCACGAATTTTTTTCATTTAAAATTTTATGGTCTGCGTCACAAAATCACTGATACCTAGAAGAAGTATTATACAATATTGGCACATTCCAATCTGCAGACCGAAGAAAAAAACGCAAACATATAAACTGAATAAATTTTTCTTTTTCATCGGATATGTTTTTCAATCAGGTAAGCCCATTAATGTTTCGGCCCACCTCGCTGGTCAATTTCTATTTATCATCGGATATTTTTTTCAAAAACAAATTCATTTTTATTTGATGAAAATTTCCATAAAACTTTCCACGATTTTGATTTTTTTTTTTGTGAAAAATACACAGAAAAAAAAAATATAGAAAGACATTATTATAATGTATGTTAATTAAGAATATATTTTAAAAAAGGGATAGTTATCTATATAACGAAAAACAAAGCCTTATATTTTTTTTTTTAACAATCAGAATAGATTCG